AGGGGGGGTAGAGGGGGAGGGGGAGGGGGAGATGGGGGGGAAGGGGGTGGGCTCCACCCTGCGAGTTCATTAGCAACCTGTCCCTTCCCGTCCCATCTCTCATGAGCTCAGCCTCACCCACGGAATGACTACGAGAGGCGGAAGCGGCACCAACTCCTCCCGTTAGAAAATTCATGGTCCCCCGATTTCATGAGCGGGTCTGAATCCTTCAAGGCAATCCCGCGCTAATTATGCCTATTGCGAACGCGTTACCCCTCTTCGTATTCACAACCTACCGAGGCGATGCCACACCAATTAACACCGCACGTCGGGGTGGAATGAGAAGTGTAGTGCTGGATCCTTCAGACTGGAGCAGGCCGAGATTGCCTGGTAATTAAATTGCTTAAATTTTCCCATTAACTTTATGATGAGGTCGTTTGAGTCATTGTGGGCTGTTCGCTCCATTAATCGATCGATAAAACTCTTTTTTTTTTCCATCCAGAAATTAGTTCCCTCCATAAATGAGTTAAATATCTGCCACCACTCGCACACTGTAGACCAACCCCAATTTCACCCAATTCCAGTAAAAATCTTCACTCAGCTTTTCCCTGCGCATTACTTAAATTGCAAGGGAAAGCCATCAGACACAGCACCCAGTCTGTAGAGGATCCATTCAAGAAGAACTAATTGAAGCATGCTCTGTATGGATTACATCTTTGGATAATACTTTAAATTTTAATTAAGTAATTGAGTTCATCGGTCTAGGCATAATTGAATAATTGCATCTGCAGCTTTTTGTTATTTGTCTTCATGAAGATGATGCCCAAAAAGAAGCTCCAGTCTTCCTTTTGGCAGTCACAAAGCCAAAACATTCCCATCTCCTCTTGGATCCTCAGCATTTTCATGCACATGATATTCCTCATGAATATCAGCTGCACCACTTTGAATTGTTTTTTTGAATTCATCACCAAAGGTTCATCTGCTTTCCATTGCATATCTACGCTTATTGATAACTGGATTTTCCACTCCAACGAATAAAATGGAATAATGCATAAAAATTCCAAATTTCAGACATTTGGGCACATGATGCAAGAGATGATTTTAAAATTTCAATCTGATCCCCATGCTGCTATATTAATAGGCCCCTCTAGCCCCTGGTAGCAATCCTGCACAACTGGTAGGAGTGGGCAAGAATGCCTTAAAGATTGGAATATTGTCTTGAGAGTTTTAATTTACTTTACAATAAAGGAAGATGTACTGTAAAATCTTTCATTTGAGATAACACAATAAAATAATAAAGCACAAAGTGGACCAAAAAAAAAGCAAAATTCTCCCTTAATCCTTGCTTCCTTTGTGGCAGAGGATGGCAATTTACTTACAGATAAATTTCATTCACAAATGACAGCATAAATGACACCATGTATGAAAGCAAGATGGATGGGACAAATAACATACAATGTTGCTTACATATCTATAAATGACACTATAGATTTGTGAACATTGTGAAACCCAGTTTTATAATTCCCGTACATGCTGCAATTAGACATTACATCTAGCTCTTTATAGATAATTTCCAGATGTTGATGTTAAACATAAAAGTTTAATGTTCCAAATGGGTCATATATTTCGATTGTGAAATACCAAATGCAGCCATGTCTGAAGATTTTGTGGCTCTTCAATCTGAGAGTGAAAGGAAGACATTTAACAGATTGTGACAAGGCCCATCACTACTTTCCAGCTGCTTTATTAAAGCTAAGGAAATTAACCACCATTATCCAGGGTAGCCAAGTCATCCAAACCTTTCACCTCTCTTCAAATTGAAATTCAAACAAAATCAAGCTAAATAAAAAAAACTGTGACATTAATTGTAAGTTCTCTCCTCTCATTTCCTTTCTTTTCCTGTTACCAGGTAGCTTAGGTTCAGAAGTCCAACACATTTCCCTCCTATTACTAATAATTGGAATATATCCCATGGCAAAGACATTGACTTAACTAAAATATAGCATATTTGGAAAACCTGAGAATTGTTCCAAACAAACTGTATCAGTTTTATTTTAACAAATAAACAAGATCTACAATTTTATGCTTTGGATGTGGGAGGTCATTAAACCTATCATTGCACCCAGTCTCTGTAGATCAAAATAGTTCACCGTACTTGGGCTCTGGGCGAAAATGAAATAGTTTTTGCTGCAGCATTTATGGTGAATATTAAGAGATGCTCGGTCAGAAATGGTCGAGTCAAAGACGCCAAACATGAAGTGAAAATAGCTAAACTCGTTTGAAAAACAACCTAGGCCTAGCAATAAGCCAAAAAGTAAACCAAAAGTTTGAAATTCACAAAAATTAAGTCTAATAAGGGACAAATACTGACCCATTAGACCTGGCTACAATGACACTAACCTAGGTGAGGCTGCCCAACCTTGATATATATCTTTGCCGACGTAGCAAGAACCTACAGATCTAACGGGAGGCTCACACCGCTGAGAACCTTGTAATAATTTGAAACCTTAGACAGACTTAATCACACTCATTTACTGTACAACAGATAGCTATATATTTTGGAAATAACTGTACCTAGGCTTTCCGTCTTTGAAAATCCGGTTTCGGTTTTCATTTCCCAGAGGTCAACTTTGACCCAGACACTGGGGAGATCGCGTTACTGGACGGAACCATAATTCTACAGTTTGCTAGACGTTCGATTATATGTAATGCAATAACAAATATAAATTTATTGAAAATAGTTCGCATAATATGTTTCAGTCTAATTTCATGACTAAAAAAATTTTTTAAATGACAAATCTTCATAAAATCTCGACTCCTGTAAGGAAGGAAATGCGGGATCCCTACTTCAGTGAGAGAAAGAACTGGCATCACTGTAACTAGTCGGATCACAAATCAAGCATGGCGGACGAAGATCTTCCCGCGGGATGGGAGAAGCGGATGAGCCGATCCACAGGTCTGTATTTCCCACTAGTAAGTAAAATTAGCCCGAAATGAAAGGTCTCGTACAGGCAATGAATCTCTTTCTTCAACGTTGAATTTTCATTGTTGGACGTTAAGCATCAAGAAGACGGAGAAAAAGGTAACATTAGTGGGACACACCATTCAAGTTATACAGTATTTCTTTCCAGTACAATTTTTATGCCTTTGTAAGACCCTGGCGCTCTTCTTAATTGCAACATATTCCTCCAGTTTTGGGTGTTATTACCTAACCCCCTGATTAAGATGCGCTGCTCTAAGGCAGGGCCGCCCAGAGGTTTCCAAGAAACATTGGAGACTGAGGGAGTGGAATTTCCATAGGTGGTACATGCTTAACCGTTACCCTACCAAGGCCCAGGGCAAAACGAAGCCGAAGACCCCTTAATACTCGGGGCCCGGGACAGATTGCCCCCTTTGTCCCCACCCCCTGGGCGGCCTTGCTCTGAGGAGACCGGATTTTTTAAATTAGGCCTAAGGCTCTTGCAAAGATGACAAATTATGAAAAGCTATGTCCTTTACCTCCTCAGGTCAGTATTACTATCTCAACACGTACACAAAGGCAAGTCAGTGGGATCGACCAGCTAAAGCTGCTAAGCCAGTTCCTAGCAGTGGGCCTGAGCAGGTCCAATGCTCGCACATTCTAGTCAAGCACAAGGATTCCCGTAGACCTTCATCTTGGAGACAGGATAATATAACGCGCCCTAAGGAAGAGGCTGCTCAGCTTTTGAAAGGTATGCCTTAATCATATTGAATTTCTTGAACTTGGTCTAGGTATCATGTCAAGACCAAGATATTCAAGTTTTTGAAAGAATATCAATCACCTGTGAGGGCCTAGACCAGGGGTGTCAAACTCAATTAGACTGGGGGCCAGATGGAAGCCTTCAGGGGTGATTAGGGGCCACTACAAATTGTAACACTTTATCTTTAATGCAAACAGGTTGAAATTTGCAGTTCATTTCTGTGACCAACTGTTGAAGAGGACTTTGCAGGCCAGACAAAATGGACTGCCAGGCTGGTTCCAGCCTACAGGCCCCCAGTTTGACACCCCCGACCTAGACCATCTTTATTTACCCCTTCAGAAAACCTGCAAGGTTTTCTGAAACACTATTAGAGAAACCTGAGAGTTCCTCAGGCATATGAATGAAGGTGTTAAACAACTCTGTGATTGTCATACCTATCGCAGGATTGCCCACAGATATGCTGGAACAGGCAAGATTTTAAAAAGTCATATTTTTTCCTTTAGGAGTAATGGGAGTTTGAATTTGCCATGGTATGCTTCAGGTACATTTAATGGTTTTCTGCTATATGAAGTTTTTTGGCTTTTGAATGGATAGTGTAGAAACCCCATAGTCCTTGATGGTTTTTTGTAACATTTAAAGATAAGAGAACCCCATTACTCAACTTGCTGTTGTTTTTGGTCACCTTCGAGATTGAAACAACCAAGGGTCCTCTCTCTTTCAGAGTATCGGGAGAAGATTGTTGCTGGTCAAGCATCCTTTGCTGAGCTGGCTTCCAAGTACTCTGATTGCAGCTCGGCCAAGCGTGGTGGTGATTTGGGGTTGTTTGCACGGGGGGCCATGCAGAAGCCCTTTGAAGATGCTGCATTTGCTCTGAAGGTCGGGGAGCTAAGTGATTTTGTCTACACCGATTCAGGAGTCCACATCATCATGCGCACTGCTTGAATCCACTGGGACATTCTGCCCTCTGTGATGTGAAAATTTGGAACTGAGAGGGAGTTGTTTATTGCCCTACCCCATCATGAGATGCATCATGAAGCAACTGTTATTGCAATGGGTCTTCCTTGTTAATGGAAAGAAATCCATTTTTTTTAAAGAAGGAATTCTTGAACCAGATCTGAACTGGTCTTCATAGAATCTTCTAGAATCCTATCTTCTTACCCTTATGCTACTCTCTTATATTGAATCCTGACCTATGTTTCTGGTGTCCCTCAAGTCGATGGCATGAACTCAGATGGGAGATTCTGCTCTTAACATATAAATAGACCTGAACTTCTTTTTCCCTAGCCTTCAAATAATTGGTTGTTATGCACAATGGGATTTCTTGCAATTCTTGCAGACAGTAATTGGGAAATCCAGCTGCAAAAAGCTAAGTTGAAAAATCAGAAGTGATTTGCAGTGCATCTTGGGTTTCTCTTCCCATGGTCTGTGATTTTTTATGAGCATTTACATTTGATGTTGGTGATGAATGTGTTACTGATCTTTATTTCCTGTAGCACAGGACCATGAACCAATGCAAAAACTTGAAAAATGTAAGTACAACTTGAGGGCAGCAATTATGCCTTCATAGGTATCATATATTTTACAACTTCTGGAACTCAATGAGTCCAATTTACTTCAAATACAGTGCTTTGCCTAGCTGGAAGTCCATAGTAAAGCTTTTAGTTCCCTGAATTCAATTGATTTCTTTTAACATGTTAAATGAAATGGGAAACAATGCTTTATCCTCCAGAATCCTAAAACTTAGCAGTCCTGGTTTTACTTGCATTTCTAAAAAGTTCATTTGCGCAGCCAGAATTTGAAGGATACTGGTTTTGTAGGAAATAATTTTTTTCCCAACCTTTCCATCATCCTGTGAACTTGAGATCCTCTTATCTGAAAAAAATGTGAAAAATGGAATGAAGATGTACCTATGGTAACTGCTGAATCATTGGATATGGATGGACTCAAGACTTGATACGGTAGTCCAGTCTGTTTACTGGACTTGCACCATTGCTTTCCAATGTGAAACATTAGCTGTCAGATCCCTGGCCTGTTTTGTCTGCTTCAGTCAGTGTGAATTGCACAAGAATGCTGTGCTCACTGTTAGCTATCTGTGCTAGATAATCCTTCTGTGTTATTGCTTATGCTGTACCTGCATCATTGCAGGTTCGGTGATCACATCCACCGTCCGCAATAATTTCAACCAATGAATAAGTGCTCATTGATGAGAGGTTATCCTGATAGTGCAGTCTGTGACATGTGATGCTGCTTGAAGGTACCCAGCAGTTTTGCCTCTCACAATGAACAAGATTGGACCATCAAGATGCGTTACTCCATGAAGGAATGGCTCCTGCCCAATTTTTTAAGCACCTGGTGATGTGAGAAACTTTAGGGAATATCTTTTCATTGGTCGTTGCTCACAGGAAGTTGTGTGGAATGCATTGGATGTTGCATGAGCTGTGTGCTGTGAATAAATTCCTCAAATTGGGAGACTGTATTCCACTGCATGTTCGTAATGAGTTGCATCATTTAGGTGTTTATTCTCAACAGCCAGCGTTTAGAAGTGACGTGACTCTTGATGCTTGAAGAAGCAAACCTCTCTCCATTCAAGTCCATTGCTATTGCATATTCAGTGTTGTCTTGTGGTGTTTTATGTCCCACAACCCTGGGCAGTAGGAAAATGATTCCCATGTGTGCCTGTCTTTCTTCTCACACATCACAATTTATGCATATACAATGTGTAATTAAGCAACATCCATGGTGTCTCCTTGCCCTTGACGAAGCAGCCCAACTTAAGTGTAGGGTAAACAGATTTCATGTGGTCCTGGCAACGTTATAAGTACACTGAGGAGAACCATGTACACAGCAAAAGGTCTGTAAGCGTGAATGCTTTTCATGAATCAGTTGAACATTTCTATCATGTTTTCCTGACCTTTGCAATATAAGAGTAAATTGTTTTCATGCTTTTCCTGGGACAATCAATTTCTGAGTATATTGTTGGCCACTTATCTGAGGGCTGGTGAGTGTCAAAATACTGTAAGGTATGGAGTGAGGACGATCTATTTCTTGACTGAGAAGACATCACACGAGGAAAAAGTGAGGTCTGAGTAAAAATCGCCAAGAGATACCAGTCAGATTCTCAATGCATAATGAATTTTAGTGCAGTTTACAATGCTGAGTAAATTTATTTTATTGTTTCGGCAGCTGATCAGTTCTCTGTCCCGCATGTTTTGTCTCTTGAGTGGCCTCGAGATTGTGGATAAGTACTCTTCAGTACTACCGGTACTACGGGAATATTTGGAACCTGTTAGATTAAAAATTCCTTAGTTCTAGCGCTGATGTACACAGGTGCCATCTCTTAGTCAAAGTATAAATTTATGAAGATCTGTACCATGGAGTGTATATAGATGTCTCTGGAGAGGCTTCGAATTGACCTCCCCCTTTCCATGTGTCTGCTATGAACTCATTGCTCGTGCGAATTCAGTAAGATGGCGGCCGCGCCTGGAAGGGTGCAGCGCCACGCGCCATAGGGAAGACCCCTCCATTTATACACTCTATGATCTGTATGCATTATATGTTGAGTACTTATAGTACCTTTTACATCGTATTTCGGAACCAATCCGCCACAGCACACCATCGAGACGAGTCCTGTCCGGACCGAAACTTAGAGACCCGAGCAAATTGGGTCGACCGATCTCGATGAAATTTGGTAAACGTTCATTGCATGTGCCATGAAATCGTACAGTTTCAATGAGTGGATGAATATTCACGGGGAAAACTTCTCACTTAATGGGAGCGATGGGGTCGTACTAATCACCCAAAGGATTTTGTTTTCGAAGTGGAGAGCGGGAACTCGACGAGAAATATGCAAAAGCTTTCAAGGTCACAGTTGATCAAAGTGGGTCAAGTGGGATGCTTAGCATGCATCAGACCGATGCATGGATCGCAACCGACTCGCGTCGATCAAGCGCTCGAGCAACTCCGGGAAACTCCCTTCAGAGGTTTCGAGCGACACGACCGGTTGCACTTAATCTGATTTCATGACAGCCTCCCCCCCCCCCCCCCCCCCCCCCCCCCAGGGGGGGGAGGGGGGAGGGGGGGAGGGGGGCGGACGAGAGGGACCCGACACAGTCGCGTTTACTCGAGCTGTACGATCGAACGTTTTCGGGCGAAATTTTAATCTGTCCATAATTGGTTTTAGAGGTGCGTCGATGCCAGATCTCGAAGCACGACCTCGAAAACTTTCGGATACATTTTTGAACCGGCAATTCCCACCGAAAAAAAAAGAGAGACATTACTGCCGAAATCCTATCGATCGACGAATCCTCTAAACGAGTGAGTCTCACTCGGGCCCAGTCGCGATGCCGGATTCCATCACGGAGATGTGCCGCCTTCGAGTCTCTAATTGCCTTCCTGAGGAGCGCAAAACTCTGATACGATTCTAAAACTGCGGCATCGGAAATTCAATAGCCAGGGTGCACGCGAAGTCTGCCCGTCCAGAAACAACTGCCAAAAGTGCTTCCTACTATCTGCTCGTCCGCGTCGCTTAAAAAAAAAAACAATCCAGTAAACCGGACAGCAGCATAGTGAGCACGAAACGAGCACCTTAGGGGCTAAGCAGAGGGTACCTCGGTGAGTTGCCGGAAAAGAGAGCAGGGGGCAGTCATCAGCAGTTCAACTCGGCTTCTGCAGACCGTTCGGTGCTCGTAGGTGATTGCAGAACCCGCAGACTGGGCCTCGAGGGGGGTCCGTGTCGGTTCGCTTTGGGGCCCGGTCTGGACGAGAGACCGAGGGCGCGCTGGTTCGGTTCCACTCCGAATGCGTTGCGGCGGGAGTGTGACCTGGCGTTGTTCCCTCATGAAATCCGGGGGGGGTTTAGCTCCCCTGATTTTTGCGCGTTTATAGCAGCCACGGGGTCGAACATCTCGGAAAATAAAGCCACTTGCGGTATCAAGTAACTCGGGCTCTGGTTCTCGAGCGACGGGCGAGAAGGCTCGACGATCGCATTTTAGACTCCTGCGGCTTTGCGGTAGCTCGGGGGGATCGTGCTTCACACATCGGAAGTTCTTCCCAAAACCTCCGCTTTTTAGGCGTATTTATCTCTCGACGTGCCACCTGCCGAACCAGAGGCTTGGGAACATCTGCGAACGTTCCCAGGTCTGCTCCGACCAAAGATCCCATCGATTTGGATGGGCGCTCCGGACCGATGAATTCACCAGGCCACCTGGGATATTACCAGGCCACCTGGGATATTACCAGGCCACCTGGGATATTACCAGGCCACCTGGGATATTACCAGGCCACCTGGGATATTACCAGGCCACCTGGGATATTACCAGACCACCTGAGATGTCGCCAAGCCACCTAAGGATCTTACCTGGCCACCTTCTGGTTGGATGTCGGCGACTCCCTTACCTACGGCCTCATCTTGTCCAGAGGAGAAGTTATACTCTCACCATTCCTCCATTTTTCACCATTCATCCATTTCTCACCATACATCCATTTCTCACCATTCCCCCATTTCTCACCATTCATCCATTTCTCATCGTTCCCCCATTTCTCCCCGTTCTTCCACTTCTTTTCTCCATTCCTTTCGTACCGTCACGGGGAGAGTCCTCCAGGGAAATGAGCAACGCCTTCGGGTCCACGGTCGTGACGATTTATTCTTATAAAATCTATTCCAGGCTCTTGAAAATGTCATGATCACATTGTCTGCGGCCAGGTGCAGATACGACATCACATTTCGGATATTTAATCGGAATTTCATGCGAACAGGAAGTGAGAGTACACACTCTTGACGATTCTTCGACATCAAACCGACATGATACTTTCTCAAACAGACATGATACCTTCTCAAACCGACACGATACCTTCTCAAACCGACATGATACATTCTAAAACAGACATGATACCTTCTCAAACCGACACGATACCTTCTCAAACCGACATGATACATTCTAAAACCGACACGATACTTCCATTCGATCGCGGCTGCGCTGGGATTTCGGGCGATGCGCGCGATCCGCGACGCTCCTGGGGACTGCCCCATGTTTCTTTCCTTCTAAAAAAAAAAAAAAGTTATTATAAATAACGTAATCGAGTTTCGAATCACCTGAAATCCCAGCGCATCCTTTCTCACATTTCTCGCTCGCATTCCAAAAAATAAAACCACCCACGACTCCCGACGAAACGACACCCTCACGCACCTCACGCCCCCGCATTCTCGCCCCTAATGCCACCGCAGAAGCACAACACATCCTCGCGAACGTCCTCGCCGCCGCGACAACCTAGCGAACGCCGACGGCAAGAGAGCGAATGAGACCGATGGAAGCACACACGAACCACGACATCGAAAAACCGAGCGAAGACATATAAGACACCGACATGAAAGCACTTCATTGTTCGACCTTGCACATGACAGGGACAGAAGAGAGACGGAGACACACCGACTGTATAGGTACACGTGGCGGCACGGCATATTTTAAATATGATATTTTATCATATAAACCCCCCCCCCCAACCCCCCTTTTCAGCTCGGACGACCCCCCCAGTTCTGTCTCCAGCACTTGCAGACTTTGATTCCATTTTGAGCAATGCGATTGTCACGAGAGAGAACTTTCGAGCGAGCCGCGGGACACCATCCTCGCCACTTTTTTTTAATTTTCTCTTTTTATCCTTCACTTAGGCCTAAATCGGAACGAAGATCGCCGTCCCAAATTGTACTGACGGACCCCCTCTCGCCCTCGAGAGGCGCCGATCGTAAGCGTCACAGAAGCAATAACAGACGACAGAAATAATCAGATCGAGAGAAGAAGATCCGAGAACGAAAGGAGGAGCAATGAGGAGCAAAGAGGAGCAAGGAAGAGAAAGAAGAATAAAACGGGAGGAAACAGTCCAGCCACTCCCGCTAGCTACTATGACTGCTCTCCTGACTGCTGATCGACGTGTCCCTCTTCCCCAGCCAGCGATTGTACGCCAGGTCCCCCTTCCCCTTCCCTTTCCCCTTCTCCTCCTTCGCCTCGGCAGGCTGCACCGCCTCCGAGAGATTGTTCCCCTCGTCGTCGTAGAACTTCCCCCGCTGGTGGCTCGCCAGCGGGAAGACGTTCTCGTGGAACCGCCCCGTCGCGTTCCCCGGCGGGTAGTAGTGCGCCACGACGAACACCTTCTGCGACCTCTTCGTCTTCGCCTTCGCGATCCCCAGGTACTTCGTCCCCGCCCAGACGAGCTGAGAGAACGGCCCTGTCGAGGGAATCCGACATCATCCGTGAACGAGAATCGTGATGAGCTTGCTCCTCGGAGCATGAAATAGGAACGAGATATCGTCTCGGTTCAGACCCTTCCCCCTATTATTTTTCACCAGACGCTACAGCAACACGTGATACGACTAAAAAGTTGACCTGGCCGTTTCTCTTCCCTTTCCTCTAAAGAGGAAACATTCCAAAAGCAATAAATTCTCTCACCACCGACCCCGATACTTGCACGGTCTTCACGTAGGGCATAAGGCCAAAAAAAAAAGAAGAAAAAAAAAACAACTCACCGGCTTGGATATGAAGCAAGTCAGGCTTCTTGGAGAAGTCGTACTTCCGTATGCTGGAGTACCAATAGACAGACACCTCCTTCCCCGTGAGATCCCCCAACGGGTGCAGGAGCGGCCGGCAGTACTGGTTCTCCCCGACGTCCTTCTGGTTCCGGTACCGGAAGGAATTCGTGTGCGCCAGCAGGTTCGCCCACTCCTGTGCCGACGCGCACAGCTGAAAAATAGAGCACAATTATTAGCACAATTATTAGCGCGGAATTGCGGAGCGATCGGCTCGTCCCTGCTTCCGAAGGGAAGAACCAATGAAAAGCCGGTGCCGGCACGCAATTCCGGCGCCATTTCATTGAGAAAAAAAAGTCGGAAGTCGTTTATCAAAAGATCCGACCGTGCTCTTTCGTCATCTCGTCGGATCTCTCCCGAAACATCACCCATGTCATCCGTCGAGACGCAGAATTCCGCGAAAATCCCCCGGAGACTTTCCTCCTCACAAATACCCCATGACGTTCCATAATATCCCCCCTTCTCCGATGTTTCCAGGCACCGGCATGGATCCGGGATCGAATTTCGTATTGCTTTCAGTCTCGGGATCCCCCACGCATGGCTTCGCCAGAATTGGCTTGGCCATCGTCAACATCCGCTCGCTTTCCGAATTAGCCTTCTGTCTGCCTTTCAACGCATGTCAGCACTTCAGGTTCCGAGAAATTTCAACCCCCCCCCCCCTTCCCCTCCGCGAATATTCAAAGACAGTCGGCCCGTGACATCATCCGTGTCGGCGGTTGCAACACGGCGATCCGTGTAATTATCCTATTAATTATCCATCGCTATTCTTCGTTCGAGAGGTGTATTCGTCTTCGACGGAGATTACCGTCGTATTACTCTGGAATGAGGCGTAAATCATGACCATAGAGAGACGATTCAAGACGCTTTCCCCGTCGACAGGCTTCATCAACACCTACGCCGATTCTTGTTATGCTGCAACGGTTCCAGTAAACTTTGGGAAGCTGACACGAGAACCCCCCCGCCCCCCTGACCCCCAGACGTCAAGTGGCCCAATGCCAGTTGCACATGTGGCAGACAGACGCTTCGTGCAGGCTTCAACGGGGGAATCGCATCCAAGGAATTCCCCGATGAAGTGTGCGCAATAGGAAATAATGAAGTCACAACAATTTTAATGTGAAAAATGTTAACGACGAAAGTATAATATATTGAAATATTAAGTAAATGATATAAATAATTAGAACATAGCATACAAAAAATATATAAGCAGACATCCAATCCCGTGGAAACGAAAGAGGAAACCCATTTACCGCGGCATTGACGTTGCCGGAAATGGAAAGGGAATAGCAGGCGGAGATAAATGATGGGTGGGTGGAGGATCTCGTGCAATATCGCCCGGAATGTGGGTCAGTCTAACTGGGGCATGGGGAATCGTGAGGACGGCTCCTTGCACAGGGTCTTCGTCCCGTCGGAGAAGATAGGGCAATAATTTAATGCGAAACGCGCCTACGCGTCTGGGTGATGAGTCTGGCTTTCGTTTTTCGGAACAAAAGCCCGAGCCGTGCCTCGAGAGGTCAAGGATGGGCGATTAAGGTTCCCAACTTTTCCGAACCAAAATTTCCCTCCCGCCCCCGATAATCTCGGCGAAGGTGTGAAACGGGAAGAAATCACCTGGGGAGACACGACGAGCGGCGGCGCCTGATGCCGAACCCGGAAGTAGTTGTGCCAGTTCAGGCTCTCTCGGACGAAGAAGGAATCGTGGATTGTCGTGGACGTCTGCTCCAGCGGCCGTGGCACCTAGGGAACGGAAGGGAGAACGTCAACCCCGGATGCATCGCGGTTTCATCGAGACCAGAACTGCCTTTGGCGACAGTTCAGTTTTGAAATTCTCAAAATTTTGAACGATGTCGATACCCGCGAGTTCTCGTAATATTTAAATATTAATTGCACACGACAATCTCGTGAGCATCTTCCCCAAGGAAGTTAGGAGCAGAGCAGCCCGGAAGCGCCAGTTCTCGAGCTGCGAGTTAAACCGGCCCCGACCGCGCACCGCTGCCCACGAGGCATTCCCACCTAGGACCTCCCACCGTTCCCACCGAGGGATGACACGCGTCGCAGAAAGTCTATTACGCGGAGTGATGGATCGGGAGGCGGCGGGAGGCCTCGGAATAGACGCGTGGGCGTCCGACGGACTTCATCCCCAGCGTCGCCACTCCCGAGTGTCGTCGCCTCGGTCGACGAGGAAAGAGAGAGCGGCCGCGAGATGGAAGAGGCCTCGCCCACGCCGATGGACGCGCTCATCGATACACCCCCATTAAGACCTATCAGACGAGGAAAGAGGATGGGAAGAGACGGCCTGGAAGAGACAGGCATCATCCGGTCCGCGCCACTTGCAGGCGCACTCACTTCCACTTGCACTCAGTCGCTTCCTAGGTATTGCTCTCGTCTCCTTGCCGTTCCGCAATCGTTCCGGAATTCGTATTGCTTGGACCGGAGTGAAAATTCTGACTTCACGGTCGACTGATGGTTACCGATAATTTGACGGAAAAATTGCAACCTGCCAATGAAACTGCGTCCAATCCTTACTTTGCCGATAATTTCATGGCACGCCTGTTTAAAAAAAAAAAAAAGAGCTTCTGCTGCTCCTCGCGTTTAGAAAACCGAAGACCTATGAGTCTGCGAGGGAAGAGAATGAAGCCGTATTAGAATCTCGGAAATTAATGCCGTTGGCCCCTCTGAAAATGCAGGAAAATGTCGAGTTTCCGACTCTGTGAACCCTTTACTGCGCCATATATGAAAGCCCTCGCTAAGAAGCATTCGGATTTCAGGCATCTTTTCTTAAAGTCACCGAGAGAAGACATTTTGCATCCAACTGCCAAAATGATGTCATCCTATTGCAATATCGGGGTTTTTGCAAATATGGGAGAAATTCGTAAAAAGGAAGAGAAACTTCAATAGGTAAAATTTGTAAGAAGTCAGACAAAGATGTAAGTTGGAGACGTCAGACAAACTATACAATTCAATATTTTTTAAAGAAATAGCAACGAAATAAGGCCAAAGGTGCACCATGAAGATGCACGGTGAAGAAACACGGTGCAGTGGAGGGTTTAAACTTTAAAGGAGGACGAGGGGAGGGGGAGGGAGAGGAGGAGGGAAGGGGGAAGGAGAGGGGGGGAGGAGGAGGGGGGGGGAGGGAAGGGGGAAGGAGAGGGGGAGAGGAGGAGGAGGGGGGAAGGGGGGAAGGAGGCAACACGCGCCTGGAAGCACGAAGTCAGTGCTTTCCGTTTCCCGTTCAGAAATGTTCACGGACTTAGTTGTCTCAAATATCCATTGCACAGGTCAATGAAGATGCCATTATTATTTTTTCCCCGAGAAACAGCAACCTCCCTCAACCACCGCTCAACCTTCCCCCCTCCTCACCCACCCCCCAAGATCTCAAGTGTCGAACAGACACCGAAACCCATCCCGATCATTCCACTCCCCCTGCCCTTCCACCACACAGCGCCACCCCACGTGTGACCGAGTCGGAAGCACTCACGTCGACGATTGAGCACCCAGAGAAGGAACTCCTTTTCCGCTCGCAGTCCATGCCGGCGACACGCCCCTCATCCGCGGCTCAAGCCAGGTCGGGCGATATTGCGACTCTTGACGCCAGCTGGGCCTTTATGAACGGTTGGACCTTTATGAACAGCCGACCCCGCGCACGCGCGTGGGTGGACCCCAATCATCTCGGCCGTCTGCCCCCATATGCCTCCCTTCCCCTCCATTCCAAGAAGCTAAATAATCTCGGCGCATCCGATCTCTCCGTTCCAGTTGAAGGGGAAATGATTTCCCCGTCAAAATCGATTCGCATAGGAAATGAGGTCGCCAGACCAATGTTTCTTTAGATAAAATTGAAATTCCTGGAAATTCCCTTTGAGTAACCCCACCCAGAGATACGGGGGGAAATATCCCGGGAAAGATTCAACCCTCGCCTCGATTATGGCGATCGGAAGCTGCGAAAGGATGAAGTTTCAAAGGTTGGCTGCAGTTATCAGCAGTGGATCGGCTGACATCATCTGGAGGTCGGCTGAGTCAGCGATATCAGCCATACCCAGTACACTTCCTCGAGGCGTGCACCTAGTACCTAACAGATCAGTCCTCGAGGGACCGGATCCTCATTGCCCCCGCCATGAAATAGAGATGGAACGCTCTCTAACTGACTCTCTCGACCGGCTAATGATGCTCGGAAATGAGAAATTAATGCTCCGGGCGGAATCTGAGGGAGGAGGTAAGGATTTCACTAATTTTAGGGGGAATTCCACATCAAAGAGGATTTTCGAGCGAGATCACCTGCTGCATTTTGGGGGGAAGGGGTTGAAGGGGGGGGGGGGGGGGGGGGGGGGGCTGACAACCCCCCCCCCCCCCCCCCCCCCCCCCCCCCCTGTTTTGGAGGGGATAATCCTCGCCTTCATTGCGAGGGTCGGTCCAATTTCACCGATCCGGGTGATGATGGATCGTTCATATCTCCATCACGCATTTTCTGCATTTTTGCAGTGTTTTCCTGGAGATGGGGCGGCACGTCATCTGGTCGGAATGAGTCGAGACGAGCAGGCGCATTAGTGCCCTCGGCCGATTCTGCAAATAACATCGATCTCGTGAATGACGAGATCGCAGCATCCACATCAGTCGTACACCCCTGATTTCCCCACTGCCTTGTGCCGAAAGTACGAGTACTCCGAGACCACATGAAAGTACCTTTCGTGCAGAAACGCGACCTTGGAAGGTGGAGCCGACCCCTTTCTACCTGCGCCCAGCCCTCCTAACCCAGATAGTAATTTATTAGGAGGTGGGCCCGAATATGAAGCAGGGACTCGCTCCGCCGACAGTAAATTAGCCATTAAGTTCCCGGTGAGACACGCGACGGTACCGTGCAGTGCATGTACCAAGTACTGCTTCGAGTCACGCCACCCCGTCTCAAAATTACGTCGCAGGCATGACGAGCATTTAATCCAACCACGCCTTCGCCCATTCGACGAAGGACATCCCGAATCTCCGCGTCCCGTCCCGGGGTGACGACGGTGCCGCCTACCGGAGGAATCCGGATCCCCGCTGGTGAATCGACCGGACGCCAGATGACGCAGGAGGGGATCGAGCACTTCCCTTTCAGCCTCCCTACGACTTCCATTTCGTCTTCCTTCGCCTCCACTTCGTCTTCCTCCTCCTCCTCCCCCATTGGTTTTGCCCCTCGCTCTCAAAGGAGGGGGAGCCGGAGGGAGGGGGGGGGGGGGAATCGTTATTATTCCTCCCCTCATTTTCATCTCTTCGAATTCCCTCATGGGCGTGATTTTTCTCCGCTCTCTTTCCGTTTAGGGGCAACTCGCTCTTTCTCTGCGGTCGATGACGCCCAAGGATGAAATAACTTCTATGATGATATTCGCGAGGTGTACAAAGAGACTTCTTTGGAAGTTCGTGAACGAGGCCATCCTTTGAGGACGCACTCCGGGAGATTGCATTCCCTTGCTTTCTTTTGGAACGCAAGACTGATCCCCCCCTAACCCCTCCCCATCC